TAGTGTTGATTCATCAATTATTCAATGTATTTTTTATTAGACAGAGAAAAACACGAGCCTGAAATTGCCTGTCTGAGGCCCAAGGTGGGCTGCACATGCTGGGCTCGGACCGCGATGAAATCCTCAAAGCTGCAGTCTGCCGGTCGATCATGTCGGTCCGCAAACGAGCCCGAGGAGGAGGACCCACTGAGCAGATCCGCCAGAAGAACAATGCTGTGCGTCTGTCTGGACGGTCGTTTGAAGAGCTTTCTGGGCACAGCCGTCAGGACATGGCAGAACTGCTGGATCCACTGCTCCCACAAGACATCGATGGTGGATTGTCGGTCGTCTTGAGGAACATTCAGCAGCAACATTCTTCGTCATTGCCGTGTGATCTTCCTGATGTTCTCCAGCAAGCTGTGCAGAAGGCGGTCGTTGGCGGGTCATCAGCCTGCACATAGTATTAGTTTATTATTTGACTCAATCATGACATGTACTAATCAAATGTAAGGAATCAACTTAATTGTTAAAAAAATACAACTCTACAGTATTCAAGTTGACTGGAAGGACCAGAGAGCCAAGGAAAGTGCAACTGCTGCCAACCTCAGTGCAGGTCCTGCACGCTCAGCAGAAGTCGGTCGCCTCCTCTGTTATGAGAGACTACTTGAAAGAGTGGCTGGAATCAGAGGATGGCAAGAAGTACCAAGCCAGTCGGGCTAAGCTTTGGAAGTGAGCTGGTCGCTGCTGAGCAAAAATGCCGACGATGTTGTGAACACTGCATTTGTGTACCAAGATCTAGCTCGGTCACTTTTCGAGTGAGTCACGTCACCCAGGCCATGACTGGATCGCCGGTCACTGCTGCACAAAGGACTGGGCCGTGTGTTGCATATGAAGCACTAGCTCGGTTGGTGATCATGTCTTTTGCAAAGCACCAGGCCATCATGGTGCCCAAGCTGCAGAACCATTTTGCTGTCAGCAAAGTGGTTCTTCAGGTTGGGCACTAGGTGCTTCAGTGGTCTCGTCGGACCCCCAGCTGTTTGTTTGCTGCACTCCTCCTGATTTCTCTCACATGTTATCTTCAGTCAAGCAGGCCGGTCAATGCCATAAGATGAAGATCCGAAGCAACCCTGGCCCACGACTGTCCGGCACTGCCGGGCGATCGTGGATCCGAGTTGCTTTGCATCTCCAGCTGGTGGCATGTTGGAAGCTCAGACCTTCTTTAGTAACCTGACCGTCCTGTGATGAGCTCATGTGGCCCAGGCCGTGGTTGCCGTGCTGGTCGCTGCCACTGAAAGAAAGACAACGAGGCGATGTGTAAGCCCTTTGTCGGTCGATCACAAGGCGATGCTGTCACGATGGCATGGCCTTCTGCTTGACTCTGTCTGTCTGACTTGCCAGCTGTGCTTCAGCTCTTATAGCATCATCGACTACACATCACTTAGAGAGTTTCTTGCAGCCGTGGTCGTGTCAGGGAGCAACAAGCCTTGGGACTGAACAAAGCCATTGCGCGGCAGCATCAGCGTATCATCATACCTATAATATACATGAGAACTTCACTTGAGACTAGACTTTAGACATGGAGCAGATGGAGCTCCTTTCGGAGTCTGAGTCCATGTCGGTCGACCTCCAGATATGTTCAGGCAGCGAAAGCTTGAAGAGCTGGTCGCCGGATGAGAGTGGGTCGGAGTCTCTTCCGGCGTCAGATATGCCAGATATTGACGTGGACCAGGCAAATGCGACGCCGGTCGCAAATTTTGGCAGCGGCATGGCAGGTGCCAAGCAGTGGCCTGAGATCACGATGATTGCTTTAAGTCGTATTTTGTCGGTCAAGCAACTTCAAGGCATGGCTGTTGTGAAACCCATCGATTAAGAACCGTTTATTAATTATTCTTGCAATCGTCATAATGCTAATAAGTTATCATTATCAGAGCAATAGTAATAATAATCGTTATCAGTTTCTGAGCACCCTGACCAGGTTCCATGCTGGCTGGCCCAATCCGTGTCAGTACACATTTCTCAGGTGTTGGATGTGCTGAGCAGGCGGTCGAGCGTGTGCACAAGGCCTTCCAAGAACTTCTTCTGTGTAAGTTCACCACGCGGGCGGTCGCCAAAAGATCGACTCTGCAGTTCGTGTCTGCGTGTGACTTATCACGGGCCTGCCAGAATCTTTTGATGGGTCGGTCGGAGCATGTCTTTGGAGATATCAGGGATGCCTTTCCGACTCTGGAAATGCTAGGTCCTGACCGGCCGGTCGCAGAGCGGTGGGCACTGGCCAAGAGAGCAGCCGCCAACGTCCCAAGAATATGTCGGTGTCATGTTGCATGCCGGCCACCACCCGTGACGGTCGACATCAGCGGTAGCCCATGCCAGCCATGGTCGAGAGCTGGACAGAAGAGGCGCTGGACCGACGGTCGGTCTGACCTTCTCCTGCTATGGGCAGCCCTTATGTTGAAGCAGGAGCCGCCGGTCATACTGCACGAAAACGTGTCTGGCTTTCCCACGTCGGTCCTGGAGGATCTCATGCAGGAAAAGTATGTCATTCATCACTTGCGGGTCGAGCCACACCATGTGGGCTTCACCTGTGTGAATCGACCACGGGTATATTCCGTGCTAGTACATCGGTCGAGAGCGTCGGTTGCCGATATCCCGACGGTCTACCATTTCGTGACAAGCTTCTTCAATTCCGTCGGTGGTGGACTGTCCATCAGAGATTGTTACATAGGGTCGGTCGAGGAGACTCTAGAAGAGGAGAACTTCTGTCGCAGAGCAAAGGGTTTAGACATGGTGCAGACGCCAAGCCGGTCGTGGGAATGTCTGCTGACTGAGCAGCAGCAGAAATACTTGGCAAAGTACCGTGAAACTTGGCAGCAGTGCCGGTCTGACAAAGAGCAGGAGCCGGTCTTTGATCTCAGCCAAAACCCTGCACGTTTCCTTAAGATGACTACAAAAGATGGTCGCTTGCCAACTTTCCGCACGAATACGAAAATTTGGGTGGATGGTTTGAGCCGATGGCTTCTGCCGGTCGAAATGGCAGCAGCAATGGCAATGAACTATGGGGTCCTGGGGCAGCCCAACCGACAGCAGGTCGGCAACGGAATGCATGTGGCCAACTGTGGAGTAATGTTGGCGGTCGCCTTGGCCTGTACGCGTTGAAGAACAGTGCGGTTAAAAAAATGCAGTGTGGTGCAATGCCCAATATCTGATTGGCACACTTGCTCCATGATTCATCCTGTGCCACGTCGGTCGTGCCTATTTTCAGTCAATCTTAATTAATGTCGTTTGCTCATTGCCAGGCAGACGTGGTGAGCCCTCCTCTGAGAGCAGGTCGACCAGGTGGATGACATGGTACGACCATGCCGTCCAAATGGTCCGTGGCTGCTGGTTGGAAGACCAGACACAGTGCCGGTCCTTCAGCTTCGCTGAATCTTCACTTTGCGTGCCTCCTGAGTGTACAAAGGAGTTCTGGAGCCGTGGGGCAGCTCGAATGCGAATCCCTCTGAGAGGTGTTCGCATTGGAGCTGCCCCACGGTTCCCAAGCAGCTCAACGAGAAGGCTCTGTAGCCTACAGAGCCTTCTCGTTGAACTGCTTGACCGAGCATGTTCGACATGCTGATGTCAAGGTCATGTCATTGAAAAAGTTGAGTTCATGTTATAGGCGTTGTTTTCACACAGCCGGTCCATCATGTGGCTGGACGATTGGGCCAATCGTCTCAACCACAAGCCGATGGACCGGCCGCCAGGTTCGGAGATGGCCTTGACAACGGTCGTAGACATTGAAGCACTGGGGTGACCACATCGCTTGCCGGTCGACTTCCGTCCCGGTGCATTCCTGAGCTCGCCGGTCGACTTCGGTCTCGGCGCTCAGCTTGCCGTGGCCTTATGGTGGAGCGCAAACGAAACAGTATTTTAAGTTCATGTTAGGCGTTGTTTTCACTCAGCCGGTCCATCATGTGGCCTTGACGGCGTCAGTGCAGCCCAGAAGAAAAAAGAGCTCGAGGCTCGAGCTCTTTTTTCTTCTGGGCTGCACCCCGAGCTAGGAACTCGATTGTGCAGAATCAGGCGGTCGACTGCTCAAACCGTGGAAGTCGATTGTGCAGAATCAGGCGGTCGACTGCTCAAACCGTGGAAGTCGATTGTGCGGAAAAGGCGGTCGACTGCTCAAACCGTGGAAGTCGATTGTGCGGAAAAAGGCGGTCGACTTCTCAAACCGTCTAAGTCACGACCCTGTTTTTTGGTTTATGCCAAAGTCGTACAGCTCAACCCTGTTCTAAGTTCAGTATAGCATTACCTACCCTGTTAACACTTGCTGTGGAATGCTCAGAGCCCAGAGGAGTGGCCTGTTGGGGAGTACATATGGGTAGGGGTGCCTTAAGGTTCCTTTAAAGGGATGCTTTAAGGGTTCCTTAAAGGGCTTCCACATATGGGAGTTTCTTTCCATAAGGGGTACTTTACTTAGGGATCCTCACTGTAAGGATCCCGCTGGTCGGAATTCTATATAGGTGTAGAATCTGAGGTTTCACTCCAAATCCTAAACCCCAGGCCCCAACCATCCATGTGTTTATGCATGTATTTCACTTAGTAGCTGAGTAGCTAACCTTTTGGGGTTTATATCACCCTACCATAATTGGAAAGCTTAACTTTTTTTGGGCTAGGGTACTCAACCCCCCCTATGTTCAAGCATTTTCTGCTCGTGGACCGTTTCTGGTTAAGGGTTTGGGGCTCTCACCCGCGAACGTCGGTCCGGCATTGTTCGCTGCGCCGTCAAAGCTTTGCTGAGCCAATTGCAAGATAAAGAAATGCCGCTTTCATTGAAGTCATAGCTCTACAGGCCCAGTTCAAACCAAAGGCTTGTTCCGACCACTCGAGGGCCTGCCCGAGCCTATCCCAGGACAAACATACCCCCAAACCAGATACAAATCACACCCCAAACCCTACACAACTCTATTCTATCAGCCCATACTCAAACTATGCCCGGAAGCCCTAAAGCCCTACTCTTGATTATCCATCTTGTTGTAAATGCCATGGCGATTCGCGCCTGCAGCCGCTTGACCTGCCTCTCCGTGGGAAGTCCGAGTTTCGTACCGCTAGGATTCCGGCTTGGCACCTGCCTTCGAAGTGCCGGCTCTGCTACCTCAGCGCCTTTGACAAGCATAAGTGAACAGTCATAAAGGGAGTGCGGGAAGCAGTGGTGGCGGTGGTAGTAGTAGTACTAGTAATAGTCGTAGTACAAGTATTGGCAGTAGTAGTAGTAGTAGTAGTAGTAGTAGTAGTAGTAGTAGTAGTAGTAGTAGTAGTAGTAGTAGTAGAGTAGTGGCAGCAGCAGTATTAATAGTTGGAGTAGGCCCGGAGCTGTAGTGGTAGTGGCAGTTGTGGCAGAAGCACCACATAATGAAGGAGCAAGGTTCAAGATTGTGCCGGTGAATCCAAGGTGAGCTGGCCGGATGTGTCGCCAGCGGCTTCCCGCACGCAGGGCAAGGACAAGCTTGAAGCAAGCACTGCCCGATCCAGCCGTGAGCGAGAGGTCGCTGCAGCATGTGCGGCTCTGTCTGAGAGCGTCGAGGCAGGCGACACCGCTTGGTTTGAGCGGGTCATCATCCAGCTGCGGAGCATCCTGCTGGAGAAGCAAAGTGAAGATGCCGCAACGCAGGCACAGACAGGCCGGACGACGTTTCCCGTCCGCGCAGATCCTCTAAAGCAAAAGCCCCCCATGACCTCCATACCTCCCAAGCCTTCAGTGACTTCAGTGGCTACCGGAGCACCGAAAACACCCGTTTCCACACCGAGCTCCCAGCAAGCGGAAGCTCAGCCACCCTGGCTCGAAGCGCTTCGGCTCTTGGAGACTGGACTCTTCAGAAGGTCTTTGGTTTCGTTTCGAAGGCTTTTAGTTGGGTTTCATAGGGGTTTTGTCAGAACAGGTTTAATTACAGGTTTTTGTAAGGACTTTTGAAGGGGGGGGTTTTATGAAAGTCTGAAAAAATCGTAGCGACATCCCCGCTTCGGCCGTTTATTGCTGCACCATAAGGTATCCCACCAAACCCGACTCGAATCATAAAGCCGCGGATGTTGGGATGTAAAACGCTTAGTTGCTTTCGTTTTCTTTTTATGGGACTCCTTTCGTTGAGCCTTGAGCCTAGCTTCAGGACTCAACAGAGGGTATGGGTTGACGTTCGGGTCTTCCGGCGCCGAAGTGATGATGATGATGATGATCATCATCATCATGCACAAGATTCCCACAGTGGTCCCTATTTGTTTACTGAAATATCCCTGAAGACGCTAGTCACGTGATCAAGGCCCGTGTCTTCTGAACGCAAAGCTCCAAATCGCAACATAGGAAGAGGCGGCGAAGCCACAAGCAGATGCTGGCAGACCTCCCGCAAAGGGATACTTCCCTGCTCGTGTGCAAGCAGAAGCTACCCCTTCTGCAGAGGAGGGGCCTCCCGCAGAGCAGGTTTACGCAGTGGTTTAGGGATCTGGAGTTCTGGAGCTTTTTCAGGTTTGGAGTTTAGGGGTTTAGGGTTGAGGGTGTAGGGGTTTAAGGGTCTGGAGTTCTGGGGCTTAGGGCGTAGGGGTTTAGGGTTGAGGGGGTTTGGGATATGAGATTTAGGCTGCAACTTTCTGGTTTCATCGAACCTACAGGTACGATGTAACTGGCAGAATGCCGCCCCGAATAAGGCCGTTTCGATCCACAGATAGGAGCCTAAGTGTCCAAGATCATCCAAACACGATGATCTTGGAACGAGGCCCCCCAGATGACGGGCCTCATCATATAGTTTGCGTTTCTGCAGTGCAATGGTGTAGTCGTTTATGGACCCTTCGGCTGGAACTCCTAAACCTTAAACCTTAAACCGTCAACCCTAAACCCCAAACTCTAAACCCAATCCCCATAAAAGGCTTGTGTCGCATCTGTAGGAGAAGCTTCAATCATACTTGGACTCGTTCGCCAACACGCAGGCGTGGGATTCGGGGCCTTCGATTTCACAAGGGACCCTAGAGTCTCCATATGTACTACTAGTATGGAATTAGGTTCCCAAAGCCATAATATGGATAGTCTTTCGGGACTTAATTCCATAATGGTACTATATATGGAGCCTCTGGGGACTGTTGCGGTTTGCAGGAGGGTGAGGCTTAGGATGTTGAAAGTCATCCGGATGCCATGCACCGCTTACGCACACGGCTGTAAAGTAGTTCTGCGAGTGTTTGCAGAGCGCATCTAGAGCAGCACGAGTGGGTCTGCAGGTTTAATGGTTTTCCGGGACCGGTGGGAAACTAGAGCTCGCTGGCATATGCCTTACACACTGAACGCTTTGAGTCTGGAACAGCCCGTACCAAAACCCAACAACCGAAACCCCTGAGGCTTCAAGTATACAAATCGTACCTTCTTTGGGTTCTAAAGTCTATAAGTAGTACCTACTTTGGGGTCTAAAGCCTATAAACAGTACCTACTTTGGGCTATTTGGAGCCCCAGGGAACCATTATAATAGGGTTCCTTGATTTATAGGGGCCTTCATAATTAGAACAGGGTTTTGGGACCCATCATACTATACCTTAACCCCAAGTAACCTACCTGTTTAAGGTCTTATATAAAGACATCATATTCGGGAACCCTAAACAAGGTAGGTTCCTTAGGGTCCAGGTAATATTTAAGATACCCAACGCCCAAAAACATTGGGAGGTTAAAGACGGCGAGGAGGACCCTGCTTGGGCCCGCGCCATTCGCATTCTGGAGGCGGTCCCCGTGGGCAAAGGACCCAGCGCAGCACGCTAACTACGGTTGATGATATAAATCCTGCATTACCTATAATAAGGAATATACCATAATTCCCATAGTTTAGAGTCCTTAAGGTCATGCAGGATTTATATCATCAACAGTAGGATGCCTAGTAGTACCCTTCTTCCCTTTTTGTAGTCCTAGGCTCCTTATAAAGTTACCAAATACCAAAAAGGAAGCCCTTTTTATTCCTAGGTTATTGGGCATCCTAGCTAAAGCTTAAGCAGTTGAAACCCTATTCCCACAACCCTACACCCGAACTAAACCCTATAAACCTTAAACTCTAAACCCTCACCGAGATTAAGCCCTAAACCCCAAACCTTGCACCCAAACTAAACCCTACAGCCAAAACAACCAATCACTGAAAACCCTGAAACTCTGCCATCTACTATTTTGTGGGTTCGTTATTATGATTATAGTATAATATACCCCCAAAACCCTATTCTAGTTATTAAGGCGGCCACTAGACAACCCTGAAACTGTAAAATCTCGGCATCCAGCACAAGCCGGTTTTGCCAGAGGCCGGAGCAGCACGGCTAGTTCCTCTAGGGACCTCAAAGATCAGTCGGAACATTCCCTTAATATAGGGGCCTTCATAATTAGAATAGGGTTTTGCGGCCCAGTATACTATAATTATAGTAAGGAGATGTGTTGAAAACAACTCTGCTCTCATCATTAAGGCTCCTGTATTCCTGGCGCCTATTCGATGCCCTTCACTTTATCGAGTCCTCGCTGGACATATTTGCTGAGAGTCTTGATACCTCATTCCGAGCAAGTGGCATACTTTAGGGGCCTAAATAATGACCTCTTCCCCTTCCAGGACAGCGCTTGCAAAAGGCACCCACGCAGCCTCCGATGCAGCCGCCGCCCACGCAGCCTCGCTCGGCCCCCCGCACGTTCCCTGCGGCCGGAGCTGGAGGACGCCATGTACACCGGTGAGGTGACCCCGCACCCAGATGTTGATGATGATCGTCATAATGGCCATGTGATGTTGACCTTGATCATGACAAATCTGACGATTGTACTTTCTGTGGTGACAATGTTTCGGCCGAGTGTGGGGGGGGTGTTACAGGGTTGCTTGCTGCTTGGAAGTAATGAAGTTTCTACAGCTCGTGATCGGTTTCTGAGTGATGCGAGGGCAATCAAACCGAGTCTTGGGCACAAGCTTTGCTGCTTGATTCTCAAAGAGCATAGCTAGAGCTTATCGGGCTTCTTCACATGTGTTTGTCAGCAAGTTTGAGCTTTGGTTTCCCTGGCTCTTCGGCAGAAGCTTGTGTTCGTTCCCGTCGCCGTGGAAGATAGAATGGTGAAGGCTAACGTGCGAAAATCCTGTTTATCAACTCCCAGCCTCTAAACAGCAAAACTCTTGCCTCTCGCCCCCAAGAACTCTGCTCTTCAAAACCCTGAACCCAAAAGCCGTAAGCCCTGAAATCTTGTAGGACCCTAAACGAATTTTCAGCCAGGAGAACTTGAGGATCCTGGCCGGTCCACACGGTTTCAGTCGTACCAGAGGCCAATTCAGGGGCCTGATTAATGGCTACTTTAAGATATTGTTATTGTTCTTCTTCTTTTTACTATAGTTTTACTGTGGTTTTAATACTCGTATTACTAATGATGATTATTCTTGCAGTACACAGCTCTGTACGGCTGTCATACGAGATTGTACAAGGGGAATTCACAGCTTGAAGCGTTGTTGATGACTTAGTTGCAGGAGTTTGATAAAAGGTTTGCAATGTATGCAGGCTTTGTAGGGGCGCTCATGGCTTAAACGGGGTTTGTAGGCTTAGATAAGAGATATACAGACAGGTTGTTATAGAGGTGTTTGAAAACAGCTTGAATAGATTGAGTGCGGATTCTACCGAGGAGCGTCCAAGTCTCGTCTAGTGGATTAGGGCTTGGACAGTGTCAGCAGAACTCGACCCTAAACCCTAAACCCTAAACCCTAAACCGTTTCGGTTCAGGTTTCCGGCCTTTGGTTGTCAGTTCGCGTGATCAGACATGCGGTCAGTGCAGGCATATCTTCATCCAGCATCTTCAAAGCTTGAGACAGCCATCGTATCTGCAAAGCTCTCTTGGAAACTCTAGAAATCCACAGGCCCCTTGTGAATTAACGTTGTTCCGACACGACTCTTAAATCCCTAAATCCTAAACCGTTTTAAAGGGTTCACGAACCCTAAGCCCTCTCTCACTCCGAATCCGTTTCGAAGGCTCTTGCAGGATGGTGCAGGAGCGGAGCCCGGCGCCTCCCTGCCGGTGCGCTTCGGGAGCCGCCGAAGTGAACCCCGGCATGCAAAGCGATCTCGGTTTGGGGGTTTAGGGTTTATAGGGTTTTAGGGGTTTAGGGTTTAGGGTTGAGGTTTGGGACTTCGGGACTTTGGGTTCCAGAGTTTCAGGTTCGAACGTTTGGGAACATACGTGACGGTTTAGCGGAGTAGGTTTCAGAATTTCAGGCTCTTGGGCTTAGGGGCCAAGTCAAAGGACCCTGCAGCTCGACCGAGGATGCAACGCCGAGCCAACGGCCTTCTCCGGCGCCAGAGAGTGGTGCTGGGACAAAGGCTGGGCTGACACTCCAAGAAAGCGGATATAGGGGTTTAGGGGCTTGG